AAAAAAATCGGATTTGGGTCAGATTTGCCTGCAGTGTGAACGTAGCCAATGTTTTTTCTTGATTTTTTTAATCATCTGTTATCACATAGCCTCTAAGGAATTTAGTGTACCAAACCTTTTAGAAACTATTTATTTAGGATGAAGGATTAATTTTACAGGTTATTACACATAATTATGCAGAATTATTTTTATGTAGGTTTGTAAAAAAAGGAAAAAATACCTTTCATAATAAATGTTTATTTTATTTTATCAGACTTTTTAGTTTCAATAAACAGTTAAGCTACTTTTGGGCTACTAGAGTCGCAGTGAGTTTCACTGAGAAACCAATTATTAAATGTGAAGACCAAATGTTGCTTCCACAATCATTTAAAAAAAATACACCAAAGCATTTTGGTCCTTAGTTGATGAGAGTACTCAGGACATAAATCTGACGAAGGATGTTGCTAATTTATTTCAAAACATCAGTGATATTTGTAAGAGTAAGTGTTCAAAAATTGGAAGCCTGAATAATGTGCTGAAAGGTTCTCTATTGGATATTTATTTTCACATCTAAAAACTTARGCTATGTTCAAACTGCAGGCAAATCCGACCCAAATCCGATTTTTTTGCCCCATCTGACCCATATCCAATTTTWATTTWATTTTATTTTTATTTTTTGGACAGTCTGAACGCAACAAATCCGATTTTTTCAAATCCGACCCTGGCTGTTTCAGTATGTGGTTTTAAATCGGATACATAATTAATGTTTTCAAAGTGACTGCAGTGTGAAYGCTCATGTCACATTCCATCTGACTTTTTCTTCAGGGAGGAGGGGGTGAAGGATCAATAAGACACTCAYCTCAAGTCACGCTGTTTAAATCTGTAGATTCATGTGTTTACAGCTCCAAAACACAAGTCCAGTTGCTTCATCTTTTTACTTTTAATTTTCCATATAGATAGTAATGTCCAGCCTGGGTCGCGGAGCGTATCGATCCTAAAGTTACTCGGTTGATACTTTATTTCCAGCTCGTTGTTTCATTCAAAAATAAAAAGCTTTACTGGAGCATCCTGGTCAGAGGCAGGTTCAGATACAGTATAAACACTGAACTAAACAAGCATGTCAGTTAATTATTTAATCGCTTCTGAGATTAAACARCTTCAGATTCGACGTGCAAAAAGTAGCATCTATGCTAGCTCTGTAAACAAACAAGCCGGCTGATGAGATGGCACGTCTTTTACTGCGCATGTGTGTCACATCAGTGCTGTGTAGCGTTCACACAGGAGTCTGATGCAGGTCACATTTAAAATGTAATGTGAACGTTAACACCAAAAGATCGGACTTTTTCAAAAAATCTGAATTGAGCATTAAGACCTGCAGCGTGAACGTAGCCATACAGTATCTAAAAAACTCCATCTTAACTAGATCCTCACCCATTGGCAATGTGCATTCTTCATCATTACATCTCTTAATAGAGTCCAGAACTGAGTCAAGCCTCCTGAAAATGACATCATCAAAKGAGGGAACATGACTTCACTTTTACCRGGTGACCCAGTTCTCAATGGAAATATTGAAATCTCCGATGTAAAAACATTATGTGTCTGATTGTGTCGTATCAAAGCACATCGTGTAACTAGATAATTTCTCAGAACAACTGAATCACAGTAAAAATAAACTGACTGCACATTAGTTATAAAACTATTCTAAGCATATCAACCATAAATATGCATTTGTGAATATTTTTTTTCCTTCAATTTCCTCTCTGGACATAACAAAAAAAATATGTCAAATTCAGAATACCAGACAGGATCTAAGCTTTTGGAAATCAAACCCAAAACCTTTTCTACTGTTTATTTTGTAATCATATTACATTTTCTCATGAATCTTATTTTATACCTGATGTCCTCTTAAAATCCACAGTTGCTTCGAAAATGGAGGCCTTATTCTGTGTGTGTGTGTGTGCATATTGTCCTATAAGAAAGGAATGTTCAAAAATGAAGGCACAAAAATGTAAAAAAATAAAAT